CATGCACAAAAGGGAATAAGCATTATGTACAAATGTGACCGAATGGAACGAAACAAGAAGGAAGTCAAATGTGGTCTAACTTGTGACTGTTTCAATGTGGACGTGGTGTCAGAAAAAAATTAAAATTAAAATTTTGTTCCTAACTATAGAGGTCTTGTCACCTTTATTAAAAAAAAAAAAAAATCTAAATCAAGTCAGATTGAAGTATTGAAGAAAGCAAGACCGCAGCATTTCCTCTGAGATGTTGCTCAGATGCACAGTGTAGAGCTGGTGCTTTAAGCTGCAGAGGTGCTACTATATGAAGATCAATGAAAGAAGAAGATGCACATAATATTCTCAAAAACCAAAGTTGCATAGCTGTGAAAACTGAAAAAAGAACTTAACCTCACCTTCTGGCTTTACAATGTGACTATAGAGCTTTCTATTATGACACACCTTGAATGTTTCACTTCTCTCATGTGGATAATTTGGGAACTGGACAGAAGCTGCTTTTCTCACATTTATGTTGGAGTCCACTAAGTCTGCACTGCCTGTAGGATGTAAAAGTGTCTTTTCCTGTGACATAACTAATTGATGAGGCAACATGGACAAGGCTGAAACTCTACTCAAAGAGCAGCAGCTTAAGGTGAGTTGAGCTTTACAGAAGCCTCACTGGATTTATGAATGAAGACACAATATCCCACAGAAGTGAAGTGCACTTTCCCAGTTTCTTTGATCGTGCATTGTATTGTATTGCCAGTTTCACCCAAGACATGGATCTGTGTATTGGCCATCAAAAGGGAAAGTTGTACAGTTTGGAGAGGATTTGTAAACTTGCTTGCTTTCTCTTATATTTTTAATTGGACATTTTAAGTCAGCACCTGATGGTTTTAGTCTTGCATTTGCAGCAGTGAAGTATTCAGGGCTCTTTTCCTGGTGGTGTTTTTGGAGTCTAGTGTTAGGCAGATATTTCCCCAGTGTCTTCTGCTGTTCCATTTCATCTTGATTCAAGCTCCCCTGGGGTCTAGCCTCATCCCTCCTGGTGTTCTATTGATATTCAGGGCACTTCCAGGACTGAAACCTGAGCTAGCTTGTTTCTTTCTATCAGTGTGTTGGAGTCAGTGGGGGTCAGAGCCTGAAACCCTTGGCAGACTACAACCACCATTGCTCTCACCATTAAATCTTGTACCCGTCACCACCCACCTGCTGACTCAGCGATACCACTTCCAGTCCATTTTCTCTTCTCCTCCTCCTTTAAGCTCTTGTGATGCTAAAACAAAGATGAATGAATCTGGATTTGTTCTAAAGGCTCTTAAGGAGTGAAGAGCAGAAGAAAGCGGTATTCATACAGAATTGGCTCACAGCATTTTTTAAAATTATCTAGACCTGATCTGGTGATTTAATCTAGATCTGGTGATTTAAAGTAGAATTTGATTTGATTCCCATTTGCTGGTTTCTTAAATGTGAAAATGTGGTGCTTTTCAGATGACACGTGACTTCCTCCACAATGGGAGCGGTTTAGGCTGTTTTGTCATGTTGTCCATGGAAATGTGACTCATTTCCTCCCACCGCAGAGTGTAACTGTAACCTCTAATCTTTAGTCACCACCTCTTTTGTTATTTGTAAAGTCAGACTCTAATCATTGCTGTGACAGTGGCAAATATACAGCTGTTGAACTGCAGTCACTCCAAGTTGACATGTTGCCACCTGAACCTTGTAGCTGTCTGTATTATCCTAATTGCTGTTATATTGTACCGCATACTGTAAGTGTGACTTGTAGTGTTGGTAGTGTATTTATTGTCTGTTATTTTTGCGGCTTTTACATTTTGGTTATCCCCAAAGACAAATTGTATGTGATAGCACATCTAGGAACCATCAGGGTTTGTGTGTGTGTGTGTGAGAACGTGCTGAAAAGATGAGTTTAGTGGTTGTTGTGAATGCACTTCCTGATACTTTGCCTTCTGGAAACCTGTTCATTTTTATTCAAGATGTGCTCAGACCATATTATCAGTTACTTCAAGACTTTATTCATGTCAAATGATTTAGTGGTAATAAAAACTGGACCATGCAGACATCCAGTTACTACACGTTTGTCTCCCACTTTTTTAACTGCGGGACTCCATTTCTACCAATTACTCTAGACCACTCATACTTTTCTTTAATATTGCTCAGTAGCTCTGGTCTCTTATGCTCT